TGAACAGAAAACTCACTTGAACTTGTGGCTCAGTTAAGCTAAACATGCAAAACATTTATGACAAACACTTATGGAAAATATACCAGTCAATTTATTTCACCACTTATCGACAACCACATTAAGTTTATAATAAAGGAGTTATCGAAACAAAGATTCAACGAGACTCATTTATTTCTGTCTCTGAAGATTTGCTATGACATCGACAATATTTTACTGCAATAACTTACAGAAAATATATTTATAATTTGTTACATTGTTGGCCCTTTTAAAATTTCCCTATTGGCTTCATGTAAAAACGACGTATTATGAAATACTAGTAGTTAGATGACGAGTTTAATGAAATTAATACTATGTAGTTTGTACTTACAAATTCATAAGGGTCGTAGAACAACAAAGCAGTTTTGACAATTTTAGTTTGATAAGTTGATAATTTGCTGTTAAAATGTGCTGTTATGAAAAATCTGTATGTAACTTACACCTTTATGATCAATTACACTAAAATAAAGTATTAAATTGTTTCAGACGAAAGATTTTTGAAGAATGTACATGTATAGTATTTTATAAGAAATCGGTATTGTACTGGACGACAATAATGAAATTTTGCTTCTATCAAAGCTTATAAATAGTTTTTCCGTCGCAAATATAAACCTCAGAAGTTTATAAATGTTCCTTTTTTGTCATTGACATATTTAATAACAAATTTGCAACAAAAATTTCCGACATCAAAGTTGCAGCTCATATTGCTTAAATGTACGTCAATATATCGGTGAAGTCGAACTTAGTCACCTCAAAGTCTGTCACATCTGTTTCATATTTGGATGTTAAATACTCACTATAGCGTTGCCGATAAGGGTCTAACAACTAAATTGTTTGACAAACGAGATGATTTCAGCTTTTTCATCCTCAGCTTTCCTTATTTATATAGTAATATTCCCCTATCAGCTGCATATGGTGTTAATGTTTTCCAACGTATTCGATACTTAAATGCATGCTACTGACAGATACTGACAGATAAGTTAATTTTACACGGATTTCAACAACCTCGTTAAATTCAGCATTTAGTAAAATTTATGGTCATTATAATGACCTTGTAATGAAATATAACCTAATATTGAGTATTTTGACTGATATATTTCATAGCAATCGTTAGGCGTTTGTTTTTATACTAAATTTGACTACAAAATATTCCGTCTACATGATAAATACATAATTCTCACGGCAGGTGTGACCGGTCGACAGGGGGTGCTTTCTTCTCTTAGGCACCTGATCCTACCTCTGGAATTTCCGGTTGCGTGTTTTATGCCATGTTCACAAAGTTGTTTTTTTAGATCAATCTCTGATCGCTATCTTCACCTTTTTCTTAACAGGTAATTTGACAGTGTTTCTCTCTCTTTGACCTTTTTAACATTCTCCTTGGTCTTTGCCAGGTTTTTCCAAATTGAACCTTTAGAGATAGCGGGGCAAATGCACCCTCCATTCATCCCACCTCATTTTTTACCCTAATTCATTAAAGAATTCTATATTGAATTTAAGAAAAAAAAATTACAAAATTGACAGAATGAGATAAAGACTGAAAACAATTATGGAACAATTGTGTCACATTACATGAGTGTATTTACGTATTATTGGATGACAAATGCTCATATCAAAAGATTTGAATGCGCGAGACTATCGGTAGAAATAAGTCGTATTTTGAAATTGCACCTTTTGGTCATAGCGTCGCATAGGAAAACAATGGCAATTCATTCAAAGATAAAATGCATGATTTTTATTTTATGTATACAGAGAAGATGATGTTAAATAAATATGCAAATATTCATACCCTAAGCGGTTTAAATTTTTATGGCATTCGTGAAACTTACTCTTTGATGGCCCCTCGTATATTTAAAAGCAATGTAATAATGTTTCGTCATTAAATGCAAAAAAGCATAAATGCAACAACTATATCCTTGTATATGTATATAACAGTAGTTCTTTGACTTTACAATTCACGTGAATTTCGGAATTTTATTTTTATGATAAAGATCCACAAGATCCGTAAACTTTTTTCATCTGTGGAGTTTTTGGGGGAGGTTTTTTCGGAAGACCCGTCCAGTCACATGTTGCAGGTTTCGTTGTCTTGATATTTTTTTGAGCATGAATATAGTCCGCGGTAAAGTAAAAGTCACCAAATATTTTGACTTTTTCAATCTCTATTATCTTACTTTCAAAAGAAGATGCCAACTTAAATAGCATAGCTCTGTTTTTAGTCTGATTCTCTTTTAATTTTTTGTATTTCTGACTACTTTTATGAAATTCTGCAACATACGTAGCTTCATTCAACTCGTCTTTCAGGCTTTCAAGTGAGTTTACAACCTCTTTCAGATACGTAATTCTCTCGCTGTTAGATTCTGCATTTCTTCTTAATGCCTCTTTATGTTCTTTAGCTTTTGACGACAGATTGTTAAGGTAATCATTTTTCAACCGTTCGATGTGATTTTGGACTTTGGAAAACAAAGATTCAGTGAGTTTAAACACCTCTTCGGTGTTGGCTTCTAGTTGTGTAATGTTTTCCTCTTGTTTACTTTTTATGCCCTTTAATTCGTCTTCCAGTTTTATAACTTCTTTTACGAGATTGTCAAACTCCCCATTTCTTACTTTCTCCGCAGCCTCCTTGATAGTTCCTATTTTGCTACATTTCCTATGTTCTACACAAATGCACATTGTGCAACACGGTACAAAATGATCTTTACAAAGGAATTCTATTTTTCTCTCTGCATGTTTAAAGCAATGTTCTTTGTTTTTGATTTCCACAGGTGACAACTTTAAGTCTTCTAAAGATATAACTTCGTGGTCTTTGGTCAACAAAATTCGCCTGTGGTATTTTGCACACATATCACAAAGCTTTTCTTTGCATATCAAACAATATCTACTGGCCTCTTGCTCTTCATCATCTCGTTTGCAGGTATTGCAATGATTTTCTTTTTCTTGATTTTTAGATACTTCGCTCAGAATTTCATTTACAGGAAATTCTCTTGCCCAGTTGATTGGTCCATTTAAAAAATTTTCAACTGGGATGAAGTTTCGACACAATGGGCAACGGAATCCAACAGGATCTTCTTTAGAATTACACGTAGATACGATGTGGGTTGATAAACATTCGTGACAAAAGGAGTGTGAACAGGGAAGATACCTTGGTGTTTTAAATTGTTCAAAACATATTGCGCATTTTGTGAAATCACTGCAGTTAACTTCAGGTTCCTGTGAAGCTGATGCCATTCTGTCCGTATAAGTATAGATGTACACTGTCTAATCACATTCTATTTGGTCAAAGACGGAAACTACGCAGAATACAGAATCCTAAGTCTAACTTTCAATGTACCTTGTCTTTTGAATCAATGTGTCTTAGATACCAGCCCAACAGTTCATGCTTGTAGATGTTTGTTGACTTAAAAATCCCACTCGGTGCATTCACTTATAATAAATAATAAATAATGCACTCTGAATAAGATATTGGAGGTAAAGTTTTCAACAGAATTTAAAAACCTAAAAAAATCGATATCCTTTATATTACATGTACCTGACGTGACTAGGTCTTTCATATTTGCCTAAAAAATTCAGATTTTAATCAATTCCAAAAGATATATAGGTAAACTGATATGACGGGGACCCTCTAGAGCTTTTAATTTTTTTTAAACTCGAAACGAAACATAGAGGATACAATTTATTTAGTCATTTTCGCTAGTATCAGATAGCTTGTTTATATCGTAGCAAAGCAATCGAATTCACTTTACTTGGTTGCCCTTTGAAACTAACTTATCTTTGACTTTATGAGATTGCTCAAGATTCAAGAAGACATAAATTTCTTAACAAAAATATAACAGGAAATAGTGCTAATTTAAAGTGAACCGATACAGATGTTTCCAAAACGGATATCCAATCCCTTATGATGCCCCATTCCCTACAATCTTTATTGAATTAAGCAATACTTTTGTAATATAGATAGAGACTTTATTTTCAGGGTGTTTTATCGGAAAACTACTCCGATATAGCCATATGGGTATTAGCCAATCAAATTTCGGCGCATGTGCTTGCACTGGTTTTCTACATTTTTCACATAAATTTTCTTATAGAGTCGCAGAATATATACTTTGTTTTAAATGTCAAAGAATTACATTTAAAAATAAAGGATATATAGCCATTTAAGTATTAGCATATCAGAATTCAAGACACGTGCGATTTTGCATTCAATTTTGATAGTATCATAATGTAAAAGCCCAATGTGCCAATCGATATTATAATGTATATTCTTTTTGTAGAAAACCAAGGGAGATGTAGCCATTTTAAGTTTCAGCCAATCAGATTGCAGCGCACATACATGCGCGTGTTTTCAAGAAATTTCCCATATAACATGTTGTAGAACCTTATAATGAAAAAATTATATTTTAAATCTCAAAGTACATGTATTTTTGTATGAAGTTATTCAGATTTTTGCATCAGCCAATCAAAATGAAGCGCATGTGCATGCGCATGGGTTCATGCTAATTTGACCATGTCATCTTGTATTGACTACATGTACTAATGTATCTTTATGTTCTGAGTTTCAAAGCAATCCATCAAGAAATATTAAAAGTTATGGCTGTATCAAGTATATCAGTCATTTCACTCATCGCATCCGCGAGCATGCACATGCATTTGCGCGCAAAATGACTTTCGTTCCGCACAGCTACGCATCATGCCTATTAACCCTAAAAAGGTTTCATCTCAATCTAGTTTCATCAGATATTGAAGAATCTACTACATGTTCAAAAGAATTAACAATACTGACCTCAATCCGCGATAAGATTGAGAGAAACTTTCAGGTTTATAAACAAGTATATAATGATAGTCAGGAATTTATGAACAGACATACTTATAGTGATAGTGAACGAATATTGATAGACAATAGCTGTAGACTAATTAGTGAAGATACAGAATCGTGTCTGACAAAACTCAGTGAGACTATAACATGTATAAGATCTATGGAAGAGGAGGCAAACACTCTTAGTGGTAGAGTGTCTTCAAGTACCAAATCACAACAGAGAGTAGAAGAAGCTAAAACGAGGCTAAAGACTGCAGAGAAGGTTGCCGAGCTAAGACGTCAGAAATCAAAATTACAATTTGAAGAACAATTAAATGCTGCAAAATTGAAACAAGAGCAGGAATGTTTAGACATGGAACTAGAATTGCTAAAACATCAAGAGGAAGTTCAGATAGCAGAAACAAGAGTGAAGTTCGAAATGGGTGATGAAGAAAGGAGTCACGTTGATCTAGGATTACCGAAAGTAGGAGGGTTTGAGAAATCTAAAACTTTCATAAAGAACTTACCTCTTAATCCTCAAGCAGAAAAGTTTGTTCCACAGTCAGATAATACTCTGCCTTCCGTGTCAACAACATGTGTTCCAGAAACTTTACAACAACCTTATACATGTAATCCACAACAAGTGCGACCAGCTATAAATCCACCACAACCCATACTGGCAGCTTATCCTAGATATCCTATGCAGCCGACATACCCACCCCAACCTATGCCATCTATGGACAAAGTAATACGTAGCAGTGCAGCAGAGATTGCGCCAGACTTAAAGGATGGACAAGAGGTGTGGTATCTTCCATTGTTCGGAGTATACCACCCCAAGAAAAAGGATCAGATACGTGGAGTCTTTGACTCTTCTGCTGCATTCCAAGGAGTGTCTCTTAACAGTGTTCTCCTCACAGGACCTAATTTGACAAACAATTTAGTGGGTGTTCTCCTTCGATTCAGGAAAGACGCTGTGGCAGTATCAGCAGATATTGAACAGATGTTCTACTCATTTCTTGTTAACGACGACCACAGGGACTACTTGCGATTTCTGTGGTATAGGGATAATGATCCTAACAAGGAACTCATAGAGTATCGCATGTGTGCCCACGTGTTTGGGAACTCTCCATCGCCATCTGTAGCAATATTTGGCTTACTCAAGAGCACCAGAAATTCTGATGAAGACATTGTAGAATTTGTGAAAAATGATTTCTATGTAGACGATGCATTGACGTCTTTACCAACTGCTTCACAAGCAGTCGATTTGTTGAAAAGAACTCAGACTGTACTTAAGAACAATGGCAATATTAAGTTACACAAAATTGCATCAAACCATAAAAATGTGATGTCGGCTTTCTCCAAGGATGACCTAAGCAAAGAAATAAAACTGCTAGATTTAGAAAAGGATTCGTTACCTATACATCAGAGCTTAGGTTTGTCATGGGATTTATCTACAGATAGTTTTGTGTTTCATGTGGATTTTGCCAAGAAACCTAACACAAGACGTGGTTACTTGTCCATGCTTCACAGCATTTATGATCCTTTGGGTTTCACTGGACCCCTTGTGATCCAAGGAAAGATTATTCTTCGTGAAATTACAGCACTGTATGACTGGGATGATGAGATTGACCCCTCATATGTTTGTCGTTGGGAATCATGGAAAGATTCTTTTACATCACTACAGCAAGTGACCGTTCCTCGCATGTATTTTACCAAATCTTTGAGCCAGAGTGAAATGGTTGAACTTCATGTGTTTTGTGATGCTTCGGAACAGGCTGCCTCGGCAGTTTCCTACATGAGAATTTCAACTGAGATGGGAATAGAAGTATCTTTTGTCTTCGGCAAAGTAAAATTAGCGCCCCTTCATGGACATACCATGCCACGACTTGAACTTTGTGCAGCCTTACTAGCAGTAGATGTAGCAGAAATTGTCAATATACATCTGAGTATCAAATTTATAACCACAAAGTTTTATTCTGACAGTATGATTGTACTTGGCTACATCAACAACCAAACTAGACGTTTCTACAATTATGTGGCCAATCGTGTTGAGCGTATTCTACGAACATCAAATCCCTCTCAGTGGAATTATGTGAAATCTGCAGAGAACCCAGCAGATCTAGGAACAAGAGGATTAAACTCAGCTCAAAATTTGTACCAGGAGTGGTTGAGAGGACCAGAATTCCTCCATTTCAATACAGAAACTGTCAACGAATCCTTTCCTCTCATTAACCTGGAACACGACAAAGAAATTCGTGTCAGTGCGGAAAGGACAGTGGTTAAGGACTTTAACCTAACCAAGAACTTTGAAAATTTTTCCAGCTGGGACTCTTTAGTTTGTGCACTTGCAGTGCTCAAGACTTTCATTAGAAAGAAAAAACAAATTGTGTCAGATCCTGTTACAATCAGACGAGACAGTGAATCAGTCATCATCAAAGAAACTCAGAAAACCTTTTTCTTGGATGATATTTATTGTTTACAGCATAAGAAACCTCTACAACGAGACAGTTCTGTGCTTAAATTGTGTCCTTACCTGAGTGATGATGGGATTATGAAGGTTGGTGGGAGATTGAATCTTAGCGTACTTCCTGAGGAACTGAAGAATCCAATCATTATTCCTAAGAAATCTCATGTGGCGAAATTAATTGTACAGCATTTTCATGAGAAGTCAGCTCATCAGGGCAGACACATCACCGAGGGTGCGATTAGAAACAAAGCCTACTGGATTATTGGTGCAAAGAAATTAATTTCGTCTGTGATTCATAAGTGTATTATATGCAGAAGATTACGAGGGAAATTTGAAAGTCAGAGGATGGCAGATTTACCACCAGACAGAATTACTCCAGGACCTCCATTCAGTGCAGTTGGAGTAGATACGTTCGGACCCTGGACCATCGTCACACGTAAAACACGTGGAGGACAAGCTGAAAGTAAACGGTGGGCCATTATGTTTACATGTTTGACAACTAGAGCAATTCATATTGAGTTAGTGGAGTCAATGTCCAGCTCATCTTTCATCAATGCGTTACGTAGATTTATCGCACTTCGTGGGAATGTGTCTTTATTTCGATCAGACAGAGGTACTAACTTTATCGGAGCTACAGAAGATCTTGGGATTGACGTAACAAAAGGACCAGTGAAAAACTTCCTTGATAAGTCGAAGATTGTGTGGACATTCAATGCTCCCCACTCTTCCCACATGGGAGGAGTGTGGGAGAGAATGATTGGATTAACACGTCGAGTATTGGATACACTACTCTTAGGACCTAAAGGAAAAAATGTCACTCACGAGGTACTTAGTACATTGATGGCCGAAGTGACAGCCATAATTAATTCAAGACCAATTACTACTATATCTAACGATCCTGAGGTACCATTTGTGTTGAGTCCAGCAATGCTTTTGAATCAGAAGATATCCGGTCACTATTCTATGTGTATGGATGTTGACATACGTGATATATACAAAGAACAGTGGAAGCAAGTACAAGTCTTATCTGACTTATTCTGGCAACAGTGGAAAACCTATTACCTTCAGAACTTACAATCCCGTCGCAAGTGGACATCTGAAAGAACAAACATGAAGGTTGGAGATGTAGTAGTCATCAAGGATCGTGAGTCTGCAAGATGTCAGTGGTCTATTGGACTTGTGGAAGAAGTTTTCCCCAGTGCAGATGGACTCGTGCGGAAGGCTTCTGTGCGTGTTATGATTAATGGAAAACCGTGTACATATACAAGACCAATAAGTGAACTTATTCGACTCATAGATTAACAGTTTTATGTCAGTTAAACTGCCAGTTTGAAGTGAGTTATTAACTGTTAAATTTTATTCTAATTTTGACCTTGAAAATTATTTTGTGTAGTGCAATGAACCTTATGTGTAGGATCCTGGTCACTGCACCATATTTTCTTATATTTTGTACTGTAATGTATGAATCGAAATGTGTTTGTTAAATTTAATATGATTATGTAGTAATATTGTTATAATAATACCAATATTAGGCAGGGAGTGTTCCGTTCCGGAAAATTTTTAGGTATTTGGTTTTGGTGTTTATGTTCAATATACCTCTTCCGCTCCACGAGCTTTTCATGTTATGAATTTTATCGATGGTGTTTTACAGACCCCACAGTGTATTATTTTTGTTATTTCATTTTCACCATTATATAAGTGATAAATAGTGCATTTCTTTCAATATCTATGATTTATTTAATTTATGCATTTAAATATTTTGGTCATGAATGAATTAATTATTTATCGGTAATGTACTCTCTGACCTATGATACGTTTTTGCATGTGCTACATTGTATTGTTTATATTTTGTTATAGCATCTACGGTTTATTCCTAGAGAATAAATTAAGTTTGCTAGCTGTCGTGTCCTCGACTTTTTGGGACAGCATACCTGCTTTGCCTTGGTTTTTTTCCTCATTTTGAATAGACTAGTTTTTCTAGACTAGATTGTTTGTGCTTTATATGCAATGGCGATACATTTCCTTGTCCTTCTTGTAGTGGATTGGTCTAGCGTTGTTTGTGTCGAACTATCACGGAAATATTCTACGCTTTGTTTCTTTTTCGTAATATAAAGTTATCAAGGTCATGATTATGTAGCCACCACAATTATTGTGCAAGTATAACTTGCTAACTTTTGAATCTCTGCAAACAGACAAATTGTTACATTCATCCAGATATGAGAAATTTTGCAATTTAATGGAAAATTGAAATGTAGATAGATCTAAGTGAATTTTTTAAAATTTTTTTTAATATAAGAAAAGTATTAAAACATTGTTTATAAATTTATTTAAATCAAGCACATATCACTATATTGCCAAATGATGATAAAAATAATAATTTAAAAAAATCAAAAACCAAAATTACGTGAATAAAGACGTTATGCAAACATAAAATCGCGGATATCTTGTTCAAATGATGATATTTATAAAAATAATTATAAAAATTAATAATAAAAAACCCATAAAGTTATACGGATAAAGGCGTCATTCAAACATAAAATCGCAGATATCTTGCCTTTAATGCGCCTAGATTAATTATGGACCTTATCCTTTTAATGTGGCTCAATGACCGTCTGTTTAAAATAATAGATATGTGTTGTAAAATGCTAGCTTTATGTTTATGATGATTTTTGTGTTCTGAAATCTTTATTGGAACGGGTTCAAACTTTAGCATTTTGAGCTCATGAATGAAATTATACCATGACCTCGACTTTTGTAATGAAAGAAATATCTAAATTGCTCCAAAAAGTTGTAAAGAATAAATGGCCAATTTCAAACCAAAAAGGTACTCTTTTTTCTTTTTCTAAGCTGCATGTCAGTCATAGAAATGTGGTTACAGTTGCGACAGAGAGTATATTCATGATGCCCCCAATCAACAAGACATACATTGCAAAAATTATTCAACAAACTATAACATTAATTCATTATTTTAGAAATTAGTACATACTTCTTGTTACCTTTTTGGTCAATTAGACAGAAATAAAGTATCAATTGTTTTCAGAACAAAGGGTTCTGTACAATAAAATATAGTATTATATAAGAAATCAATATTGTTCAGGGCGACAATAATGTAATTTTGCTTCAATGAAAGCTTATAAATAGTTTTTCCATCGCAAATATGAACAACAGAAGTTTATAAACGTTCTTCTTTTCTGTCATTGAAATAGTTAATTACAATTTTGCAACAAATATTTCTGATATCGAAGTTGCAGCTCATATTGCTTTAAGAAAAGAGAAACGATTGTCATAATAATTTGACTGATTTATACATGTATTAGGTAGTGATGTAATCGAATATTCCAGTACTCGACTATCGCTTGTTCATACCAAGTATCGATTAAAGAAGAAGGTATGGTTTTAGCTTTATTGTGCCCTAAAAATTTAATGTTTTCAAAAAGTTTGGAAACTGGCTTATATATTAGTTGAGTATATGACTGTAATAAATTAGGAAAAAATATAGCATGATGGAATACCATTCTGGATATATGACGTCATTAATTTGATGCATTTCTCTATTTTAAACAGAAAAAGCCTCAAAATGACACATTTCAAGGGTTATTATCCTTAAGAAAATAGTGTCCACAGCCGTCGCCCACGTTAATTTTTAGATATGTTTTGTAAAATTCTTTGAAAAATCACATATCTCAAAATCTTTGTGGGCGATGCCTGTGGACAATATTATCTGAAAGAAAATTTCATTGAAAATTGATGTCTTCTGCAACTTTTTGAGAAAATACGGGAAAATGCACAAGTTTATGACGTCACAATTAGCATTTGGAAGGTCATGTGAGAAAAAAGATTTGTATGATCTTTCTGCATGGAATTTCAATAATTCAAAAAGCATGAGTTTTGATTTTTTACATCACTTTTATTTTTAAGAAAAACATAGGGCAAGATTTGTATTGAAACCGTACCTTGTTCTTTGGAACTCGGTTACTCGCTAAAATCGTGCTATTTAGTACACATTCTAAATCCAGAATAATGAATTAATTGAGAATTTTTTTTCTTCAGATGATCTATCGGTGATAAAGCTTAGACCCTCCACTGATATTTTAAATCAAATTATTATTTATTTTTCTCTGAATTATCATGCAATGGGGAACGTAAATGTCTATGTACTTTGATATTTCTGATGATGTTTAAAATAAATTATTTTCATGATTAAACATTTTGTTTGAACAAAATTGCATAAAATCGACTGACATGAGAAAAATTATCTTAACGAATACCCGACTGTAGCTCGACTAATTGAAGCCCCTGATTATTCGACTAGGCAATCCAAGTGAGATTGACATCCCTAATTTTAAGTTTACTTGAAGGTCACTTCACTGCAATCGCACACATAGTTTAAATACAAGCATGTCACTGAAGATTACTTTAAGGTGCAAATCAAATGGCTATTTGAACAAATCAAACGGAAATACTTTATTCTTCTATTTGTTTATCTACCTATTTATTTTTATTTATGAAGAAAATAATTGAATCTTACACAAATTTTACATTTTTAATAAAACATAGAATTAGTTTTTTCCCCGTGTCTTTCATATGTAACTTCAGGGTCCATAGGGAAAGCATCTCTGCTTTAAAGTGATACATGACCCATTACTTTGTGAGGACTTAGAAAATTACTTTGCATTCAGGTACTGATTCTCAAAAGTTAAAATCTAAAAACCAGATTTTATCAGAAAAATGGAAAACAATTTAATGAAAATGTCGTTGGTGATCGACCACCATAGCTTTAGCTATACGTAGAAGCCAAAGAACGAGTGAAAACGATGACGTAGTTAACGAAAATGCATGCCAGGTATATACAATGTACCGGTATAGGTTAAGGTCATCACAATATTATTGAGGGACACAACTGTAAAATAGCTTTTTTTTAATCGTAAAATATAATGTATATATTGGAATATTGGGACCACGCCCTCGTGCACTCCTCCCCTCTGAGTCCTGGGTTCCTGTGGGTCTATTATTGGCTGACGCCACGAGCGTCATGCAGGTTAAGGATCAATTCTTCCATGATGCGAAACTAAAGGTTGACAGCTAGCCAGCTAAATTTTGTGCAGGCTGACTTATATCGGAATTTCCTATCTTAGTTTTAACACAACAGTTAACAGAAGAAATAATCATATTACTGATGCAGAATATTGATGTATTTACTTCCCTTAATTTTTTTTTTTTTTTTTTTTTTTTTTTTTTTTTTTTTTGCATGCGACTCTTTATTCATGCAATTCCCTTTACGGAACTGTCCGTGTAACATTTTTTCTGCGTTTCTATACTATTGAATCAGTCCATTTATCTTTTAGGATCACTTCGTGCCAAATATCACGAGTAAATCTTCGCGCCTTTTCCTTGGAATGTTCTATTAGAGATCGTTCTTTTTCACGTATCCGTATAAGTATACGTATCCGTATATAGTCTTGATCATCAAGACGCTTCGACTCTATCGCGAAGTTTGTGTTATAAAGACAAGCGTCTGGATGATCGAGACTAATCCGTATACGTACAGTCCCTGAAACGTTCTACTTTCCCATTTTTCCGTTCTCTCACCGTTCGTTCAGCGTGCGTTCACCGTTCGTTCAGCGTGCGTTCACCGTTCGCTCTCCGTTCACAATTTTGCGTTCTGCGTTCACCGTGCGCTCGCGTTCACCGTTCACAAAGCGTTCACCGTTCGCTCTCCGTTCGTTCACAAAGCGTTCACCTTGCGTTCAGCGTTCACTTATCGTTCAGTCTTCACTGTCATTCGGAACTACGAAGTGAAAGGACTTATCTTTTTTGTAAGTAAGGATTTACGGGATTTGAAATTTAAGAATTCACATATCGTGTTTAAAGGATCATTATTTTATTGGAATAAATTATCTACAATATGTTTTATTATTATTATTCTAACTTAGCTGTTAGGTTATTATTTAAATTACTCTGGAAAATAAATGTTGTTATAAGTATGTACCTATGCAGAACGATGCTGAAAAATCAAATTTAAATACGGACAATATAGAGGTACTTCAAGCACTGCAACATTTTGCTGTTATGTTAAAGACGACAAGTCGTAATTAATGGAGAGATAATAATCCATGTCAATTAATTTAGCAACTGCAGGAAAATTAGAAAGTATTTATTACTAACACGTTTTTTTCCCCAATTATTATAGAAATACATTATTAGAACTAGTTCTGAGAATTATAATTAGTACTGCGGATATCCAGTTAATTAAATATCTTTGGAGCAAATTAAATTGATAGTGTACATGTGGTTAAAAAATA